GATGCACGATTTTGTCCATCCACCGGAGGATGGGGGGGGGGGGGGGGGGGGAGTGGAGTAGACGGAAAGCACATGTAGGCCATCATGTAGCATGTAAGAGATCGCAGCTTGTTTCTTGCCACTGGGCTCTGAGGCTCCTTCGCCTGGCTATTGGAGCAAGGTCGCAGCTCTGTTCCATGGCTCCTTCATTCAAGCTTCTGGTGCTGGTTGACCAGGAGCGGCTCTTGAGGCTCTTGATATAAGAGGGAAGATACCAAGGATAAGGATAGTGGTACAGCAAAAAGTTCGGTTAGAACAGATTCTGTTCTTGCCGTGGTGAGGACCAGGCATTCCGTCAGCTGGACGTGCCCTTCCTGAATCGCTTCATGGATGAACATCATTTGGAGAGGTTTGATTTCTGATGTGTGTGCGCTCTTGTTCCTCTGTTTTTCTGCGTCGTGTGGCGGGCATGTAGTCACCCGAAGTCAGCAGACAAGCCATTTGCGTGATTTCCAAGAGGCTTCGAGAAGCAGCTCGTGGAGCCCACGGAGCTGCTGGACCAAGCGAGGCCTCAGAGAGAGTTCAATAATTCTATAAAGAATTTTCCCCGCACGGTGCATCGCAACCTCCCAAAAACATATTCTAGTCATATTCCCTATATTCCTTATGTTCCTTAGTTCCAAGACGTTGGGCTTTCTCTGAAAAGATCCTCAGGCAGCAGCTGCTTGTGCAGCTTCAGGCTTGGGCAGAGGTCGTGGCGCTGGAAGCAGGCAGCGTCTGCGGAGTCCCTGCGGAAAGTGCTGGGTCGCATTTCGCATTGCAGGCTGTGAGCTGGTGGCTGGCGGCCTGAAGCCATCGACCTTAGCTTCCTTGCTGTCCCTCGCACGCATTTTGGCTTGCGGTGCTTCTGCCTTGAAACGTGCGAGAGCGTTTCGAGGCTGGCGCGGCCGGAGGCGAATCTCGAGGAGCTGAAGCTGGCAATCTTCGACATGGCATTGCCACTGGCAGTATTTCGATCAAAGAGCTTGCAGCAGCTGGGAAGTGCTGACAACTCGTACTTCCAGGCCTGGATGCACGTGACCCGTGCTGGAAGATTTAGGAACTCTAGGAAGCATTTAGGCATTTAACTTCTTTACAACAAGACCCCGTACCTCAATATTTGAATGCTTGGGTTTAAAATGCTTCCTAGTCCCCCTAAAAGATGCTCGAAGTCATTTCTTGAGTGCGCACTGGCCCAAGGTGCGATGCAGCTTGGCCAGTAGCATGGCCCATGTCATCTCCAGTGCCGATGGCGGCATCCTTTGCGAGCTCTCCACATCATCGCCAATGGCACACATGCCGCCGCTGCAAGACCTGGCGGAAGTTGGGGGCAGCAGCATCATCCCACTGGCACAGCTTTCCGGCTCCCAGCAGCTAGAGGAAGGGCCTTGCTGCTGTTATATACAATCAATCTGTGTCTGATAATCTGGATTTGGCAGGACATTCTGGAGAAGTTCTTTTCAAAAGACAGCGCCCGAAGCAGTGGAGACAGGACAGGTCTAACATGCCAGTGCTTCAGACTTCACTGGGAATGAAGTTGGGGGATGGACTTCTAGATTGAAAGACAACTCCTAGCTTTCAAGAGCATGTTTGGGGAGTTGTATCGTTGGTGCGCAGGCGTCGTGCCACTGTATTGTCCGGAACTTTAGCAGGAGAAGCAGATGTGATTAAAAGGTCAAGGAATCCATACCATCATGTCGCAAGTCTTACTGTAAGGTCCCCTGCCCTTGTCAAGACGTTCTGAGCCGCGACAGCCCAAAACGCCACCTGTCAACTACGGATTCAGCAACAGGGAGCCTCCAAGCTTTAGCCCTCTTGAGGACGCTGGTGCTCCAGGTGGATGCCCTGAGCTGCAGTCCGTCGCGCCTGGCACTCACGCGTCACCGTTGCGCCGAGGTTTCCCGGTGGATTAGGGTCTGACACTTGCTTGTGCAGCGCAACTTGCAGCAGGGGAGTAGCAGAGGAGAGGTCTGAGCGGCATCACTTACCGACTTAACCCATGTATGATCCTTTTCATGTTTCACCATGTGAAATCATATGGAGCTCTCTCAGCTATGTGTTTGTTGCAGGCGCAGCGAAGGCAAGGAATCGTGTTGCAGAGTGCTGCTTCGTAGCCGACAAGCTCACAGATAGGTAGTCGCAGCTTCTGTTGAGAGACATGGGTGGACTCTCTCTCTCTCTCTCTCTCTCTCTCTCTCATCCTCCAGTTCTCGTACCAAATCCGAATGTCAGCTGTCATGTGTACTTCATCCAGCATTCTCTCACGCTCTGGATCTGACAGGCTTGGTGCTGCTGCACGTTCTCATGTGTTCCTGGTGCTTCACCGGGTGGGTTGGACCACCCATGGCAGTGACTGGGACTTTCAAAGAGTACCTGGAGTCTCCTTTTGCTAGACCTGGGGTCTTGCAAAGCCGAGGCAAGGGGTACACCTGGCAGCCTCAGATTGGCTGGAGATCCATATTCGTGGATGACCTGCAAGGCGAGGCTCCCTTTGAATCTTCATAAAGTCATAGATCCTTGAACAAGTCCCAATGGAAAAGCTATCAATCAAGATGGGACAATACTCTGAGGGGGATCGGGTCACGGCGCCTTGGCAGGCTCAAAGACCAGTCAAGGCCGACTCCTGGGCCAGTCCCTGGAGGACGGATTCAAGGGTGCTGCAGGAGGGTTCATGTTTTTTTTTCAGATCCGCTGAGCAGGAAAATCTGGATTGGACTCGGAGAGTTGTCTTCTGTCCCTGCAGGATTTCCTTCAAAGCTCGGTCTACGAGCTCCATGTGCGGGGGCTGATCCCCTCCCTGGCAGAGTTTCTTGGCTCTACCGTCCATGTCCCAAGACATTGGGTCGTAGGATGCCAGAGACTGAGGATCCTGCAGGCACGCAGCCACACGTGCCTGGCTCGTTGTGTGCAGCCGGACATTGGAGGCCGCTAACGACAGCTGACAGTTTGACGATTGAACTTGTCTTCTTGTAGGTTAGCGGCACCTAAAACTTTACGGTCTTCCAGACAAGCTCTGGATCGCAGAGGTCTGGAGGCCTTTGCCGAGCGGGTTCGTGGCATGCGCCGGGCGCTTCAGCAAGAGGCCTTTGTGGAGGCCAGGGCGGCTCGCGGATTTGGACTCTTGCCAGGAGCTTGGATGGTGTTATGGATCCGCTTCGTTGGGGAAAGCTCTCAACTGCCTGGCGGCCTTAGCGACAGAGTTTGTTGGACATGCTGACATGCTCCTAGCAGATGCCATCTCCTTGCCTCATTGAACCCCAAGACAAGAAGCTTCCTGAGATCCAAGTTACACGAATACCCGGACAAAGCGACCAGACTGTCCTACTGCCCGTTGCTAGCAGACCCGGAGGCGCTCCAGTCCCTGGCTCTGCTGGTCCTGGAGAAGTGGGCCAACAGTGACCCTGGAGCCCTGCAACTGCACGTGTGCCTAGGCTTGCAAAGTCGGGGTGTTGGGTGCGTTCGAGGATCCCTTGACATGTGCCGCAGGAAGCTAGCGATGCAAGAGCTGCGTGTTGGCAGCTTGCGAAAGTCGGCTGCTTGGACGCACCTTGATTTCAGGAAGCAATTTTACGGAGCAAGAGGTTGCCAGTTGTGGTGCGGCCTCCAGACAATCTGGTGCACAGAGATGAACGTGGGATTTTGTTCCTGCTATCAGTGCTGGACAGTTTCTGTAAGTCACATGGGCAGGTGTGGCTGGCCATCGAAAGGCTGCAGCTCTCGGCCCTGACGCATGCTCTGCGGTGGATGGACAGCCCCACGAAATTCCTTGGCGAGAGTCCGAAGGTAGACACATCAATACACATGTGGATATGTAGATATGTATATATATGTATATATAAATGTATATCGGTTCAAGGAAGCTCAACTGTAAGCAGGTGCAGTAACTCAACAGTGTGACCTTGCGAAAGCTACAACCTACCCATATCTACCCATCTTGACCAGGACACGGACTTCAACCTTCGCCATGTCTATGGCAGCAACGCTCCGGCCAAGGTTCCGTGGCAAACAGGGAGCCAGGCATGCTAAATCAGATGGCATTGACTGCGTCCCACAAAAACTCTGTGTCTCCTTCCTGCAAAGCTGCCGAGGCACTGTGGCTTGCATTGGTCGAAACTCCCTCAATCCAGGCAGCACCGCAGGCCGCGAGAATCATGTTGGCAACACATTGTATGGGACCTAGAGTACTCGGCTAGTGCCTGCAGACTATATAGACTTCTGTATGGAGAGTCCTCACTCGTATACCAAGCAATGAAGATCTTCAACAACATTTTGGGACAGAACTGGACAGACGTGCTAGTCATCACACCGCAAGCCCTTGGTGGGAACATCCCCTCGCATCTTCCACGGAGGTTCTGGCCACTGCCCTGCGTCCGGGAGCAGCCTTGCAAGGTCTCTTAGCAAAATGCAATTTCATCATCATTCTTGTTCTTGTTCTTCTTCTTCTTGTTGGTAGTGCTGGTGGTCGTGGTGAGGAGTAAGAATTTCTTTGCGAGAGCAATATCACAGAAAGGTGACTTCAGAACTGCTTGGTGCAAGTTGGCAAGGCCCGGCTCCCGTCCCCAACAGCGGTCGACACGGGCCCCTTCGCTGCTGCTGCCCCTTTGCATCACGGCTGCTGGCCCTGCCACTTGATTGCAAGAAGGGAAAGACCACTGTAATGACCGTAGTGTCAAAGTTGTGGCCTCATTCCTTGGCCAATCCTTCAGGATCCTGTGCGTTGGAGGGGCATGCGGATAGGACCAGCTCATTCCTGGGATCAGGCTTGACATCGTTTTGGCAGCTCTACCAACCAATGGCTACTAGGACGTATACTGGCTAATGACACAAAGTCTTACCACCTCCAGCATTACAAAAGCCTTCGTCATTGAAACTTCATCGAAAGGTGTGCCGGGGTGGCCTCAACCCTCGACGAGTCCACAGATTTGGCACGTGCCGCGGCAGCAGAGGAAGCGTGCAGACCAACGGGGTTTTGCCAGATGTTGGATGCTCGAACAGGATTGATTAGTCAAGTCGCAGATTCTTTTGCCCTGACAAGACTGCACCCTAGTCTGGTCCTTTGCAAGGCCAACGCAGCATCTGCACAAAGATGCTCGGCCATGGCTTCAGCTTCTAAATGCAGTTGGGATGCCTGCTTTACTTTTCCAATCTCGAGAGTGAGTCAGATTGAACTGGCCCTGCGCCCGCTAAGGTGAGGAGGTCATGCGTGCTTTTGTGGAATTTGAAAAAGATGCCCCAGGCGCGGACATGGGCCAAGATGGCATTCCTGTATATCGTGTTCTTCACCAGATTCCTGCTCCATGCTGCAGGGCTGCCAAACGGTGCGAGTGATGTTGCCTGTAGGCTCCTTCCTTCACGATGCGGTGGCGATTTGGGCACCCCTGTATCCGTTGCTGTCATTCGACACCATTTTGAAGGCCGGGTCAAACAGCGAACATTCTTTCACTTTGCGTGGTTCCGCAGAGTTGCACAGGTCTACAAAATCGCTTGCGGCGAACAGCTGGAAGGCCTCGTGGCTTCCCCGCTAGAGACTTGGCCAAATGTTGCGCAAGGATGCCCTGTCCCAACCTGATAGAGCAGTGCTACATTTGTGTTACGATACTGTGGTGCGGCTGCGAGCCTTTCCAGGAAGTGGTGGTGGCTTTCCAGAGGACTCAGAGCCTAGTGCAGAGCATCTGCCGCGCATCAGCATCCAGAGACTTCCAGGGACCTATTGCAAAGCAATTGTCTTTGTTCACGTCATCGATCTGCACTAGTTTTGAGCTATTTTGAAGGCTAAAGCCATATTCCAGTTGTGGTTAGGCTAATGGCAAAGAATCACACGCATGAGCATGGCAGAGTCCTCCACGGTGGAACAAACCCGCGACGGTAGTATAGAGCAACATGGTCTTACTGAACGTAAATGAAAGGCAACCTGAAGACTGCGAGACCGCAGTCAGTTTGAAAGAGGCACTTATTTGATTTTACAACTTGTGTGAGGATAAGTGTACATCATCAGGTTACCGTGTAGTTAGTTCACGAAAGAACAGCCTGTTTCAGGCTGCCTTCTCTCGCTGGTGGAGGCCACTTTCGATTCTGATTCGGCGGAGACGGCCGCCAGAGCCTGAGCAAAGGATGCGGGCCGAAGGCAAGCACCCGATCTCCCATAGGGAGACTAGGGCAGTTAGAAGTTAGAAGCATTAAGATAACCAAGCTTTGAAGCTGAGAGACCGCCTTAGCAGGGCTCTGGTACAGGTACTTAGACGACTCCCCGAACCTACACAGCCTACAATTGCTACAGCAAGATCTCGAGTGGCTTATGGTCCTTATCATGGGGTGTGGATTGAAGTTTCACGAAGGTTGAGCTGACTGGCTACTAGTTGAACATAGGGCTCTCCTTTTGGCCCTTTGCAGTGTGAACTGATTTTTTGAGATACTCCCAATCTGTGCAAGGGCGGGATTCTGCATGCTTGTGTGGACTTGATTCGAGACCTCCAACAGAGTAAGTTGTTGTGTGCCTCTATTTACGGGAGTTTTGGCCACCCCAATATGAAAGGACTTGAGAATGTCGACTGCTTCTATGATACTTCTATGATCTGACCTGCTTGCATGGATGGCTGTTGTATCCCACGTGTGGTTGATGGTTCTCATTCCGTTCTTTTGCTTTGCATCACCAACTGCTTTTTTAGAATTCCTTCGTCTCTTCATGTGCTTCTTGCGGGAATGGTTTCAAACCGAGGCTTCAGAACATCTTCTCGAGGGGCGTGCTGAGATGCTGGCAGAGTCAGTGGTGGAGGCTCGGGCAGTCAGAGAAGAGGAAGTCCAAAACGACACCTTCAAAGAACAAGCCCTTGTCCAGAGACCCTGAACCGCTTCTCGAACAGTTGGGACTGTTAGACAGTATGTGCCACTTGCAATTCAGCATAGTCTGTGCACGACCGCGCCCCTCGTGTGGGAACTGCACCACATGATGAACACTGTCTCAAGTCCAGTTGTTATCCATCAGCATACCCACGCCCAGTCATCTCTCGAAGCTGTTGAGCAAAAGGCAGTGGCAGTGAAGCTGGGTGCTCAAGTCACGCCGGAGTGGGCAGAGACTCAGACTGCACGGAGAGGGGTTTGCCAGCTGGAGGTAGGATCTAAACTTGGGCATACTGCCGGTTGTTGGGAAAGCAGTTTGCAAACATCAGGGCATGACCTCTGAAGTGACAAGAGTTCCTTGCTATCAGCCAATTTTTTCCTTTCACTTTGTGCTTTCGGAGTGGGGGCTTGCCTGGGCAATGCACTTGCTTGAGAAGGCAATGGCCCTGTGTCAGGAGCGCGCTCGGCCGCACATTCGGATGTTACTGTTCAAAGCAAGTTGTGAGAAGGCAGGTGTCCCGATCTCAGAGATGTCCTTTCAGTCTTGTCAGCCTCGTGATTTAGTAGCAGAGATGCCGTGAGAAAGCACGGAGCCAGACGGAAGAAGAGTGTTCGAACCCAGTGCCCATGGCACCTAGTTGACTGAAAGACGGGGTTGCCTAGACCTAGCCGTACAGGCTCAAAAGCTTGTAGCCTTTGCATGGAGTCTTGCAGACGCCCAGCCTCTTGATGCTGGGGGGCGCTGATTATGATTATCAGAGCTTCCTGAAGTCTGAGCTTGATAAGCTGTTTGAGAGCCTTGTGGAACAGCACCAGGTTGAGGTGGAGAAGGCTCGATCTCTACAGGCATCAGAGCCTCAAGCTTCAAATCATGGAAGCCCCTTAGCTCGGCTGGGAGGCTCCCTGAGAAGTTTGAGAAGTGGGAGCAAGGAAAGCAAGGAAAGTACGGGTGTAGAAACGGCCCGAGGAGGGAGCTTGGCATCTTGTGGGTCCTTGCCAGAGTCAGAGGCCAGCTCTGGACCCAAACACAACTGGGCTGTTCTCACTCAAAAGCTTATTGAAGAGCACCAGGAAGAGTTTGAAGACCAAGAAAGTGAAGGGGACCAACAGATGTCCTACATCAAGGACATATTGGCCCTTCGCAGTCCGTGGAAGGGTGTGCTGCATCACCAGACATTGAAAAAGGACCGGACGAAGACCTTCAGTTTGCTCCCGCTGCAGCGGAACATGCATCGTATGCAGGATTCTGAAAGAGATGATGAGAACTGCCTGCAACCATTTGTACGGCCGCCGACGTCCCTCATCGGGAGTTTGCTGATCGTGTGGGACCTGATCACTATTCCACTGGAGCTATTTGATGAGCAGAACATGATAAACTTCTTGGTCTCTGTGGGAAAGTTCTCCTTCGGGTTTTGGGTCTTGGATGTGTGGCTCAGCAGCCCCAAGTCTCAGGTCAAGCACTCCGGTTCCAAGTTCTCATGGGTTGGCTTCGCTGATCAGCTAGTTCGTTGATTAATTCGATGTAAGCCCTCATTGAAGGGTTTTTTGGGTTGCTAAGTGATCAAATCACCGCATAGCTTCACCTGTGGTGTCCTGCATTTCCTGGAAGCAAGTGCAAGAAGACCATGCTAAAAGGATCACAGCGGTGGCAGTGGCCCAACCCTGCATAGATGTCTGTGAGTCTAGTTCAACAAAGGAGTACCATGTATGTCGGCCTCCGTATGACAGGAGTGTCATACTAGTAGGGGGCGTCTCCAAGCAAAGGCCATTGCACTTCATATTCGGCGTGGAGATTGACGGACACCTGGAGCTCCGACCGAGGATTCTCATCCGGAGGCCGCCAAAGAACTAGGCGCCTGAAACCTCAGAACCTTGTGATTGCTGGTGGCGCCAGGTACTTGCGTTCTTGGTTTCCTGTCGATGTGATTGTCCTGCTGGTGGATGCCGCCCTTATCATGTTGCAGGAGATCCAAAATGCACAGCCGGAGGGCACCTTACCAGCAAGTAAGCTTGCAGTCCTGCATGCCCTGCCATTTTGCGCACGCTGGATCGGGTGGAATGGAGAGGGAATTTTTTTTTGAAGAGCGGATAGGCCATCTGACAGCAAAGGGTAATTAGCTTTGTGCGTGGTTGAGTGTATACATATCAGAGGCTTGGGACAGAGCATTTCTCCTCTATCCGCATTTAGTGAGGAAGTCCTGTGCGATCAGCCCGATACCTTCGAACCCTTCGATTGCTGCGTTTGTTGCGCTTGCTGCGCGTCGCGAAGCTGCAGCAGGCAACTAGTCTGCCAAATGGTTTACCACATTGTGGGAACAGAAGTCTGTAATCTGTTTTGAGAGGCAGATGTGCTAGATTCACTTCTGAACCATTCCTTCTCTTGCAAGCCATGCTCTAGCAACAGGAGCTGACCCTGTTGGCAAACAATTTCCTTTCTACGTACGCGTTTATGGAGTCTTGGCTGCGCCGTTGAATCTCAGACCGCGTGCTAACCCCGGAGCCAGTTCCGCGAGTGGGCCAGCATCTGAGGTCATGAAAGTTGTCTCCGGTCTGCTGATGATCTTAGCCGTGAATCACATAATTGCTTGCTGTTGGTACGGTCTCGGAAGATGGATGCTCAGACTGCAGCTGCAAAGTAGAGCATTAGGCGCAAGTTAAGATGTGATGGGGAACGCTTTACAAGATCCGCTTTCGTGCGGAGCATTGGTTAAGCAATGACTTTCCTTACATCCAGGGGCAGAGCAGAGCTCTTCCCTGAGGACCTTGGAGTATGGACAAAGCTGGCTCATCAATGCAGGAATTGACGACGTCGAGCTGCCTCGCTTGCGTGTTGGCTTGGAGGTTGCTTTAGAGAAACAAGCACCAAACGTGACTGGCTTGACTGCACACTCTGCACATGTCACGCCCGTGCAAGCCCAAGTAGACAAGAGACACCTGAAGACTACTTTGCTTTGGGGTACGTACTCGGTCATGGCAGGCCAGCATTGCAGACTCCTACGCGGCGCCACCCTCAGCTCTGGCCAATCAGTAGCTTAACCTTGTTTTGCTAAATTTTCGATTTTGGAAAACTTAAGCAAAGGTTTCGATTCACTGGGCGCTGACACAATTCACGCCTGCGACACAAATAACGTTGCCCCTGTCACAGTGACGGAGAGGCGGGTCACTGTTCGTGGGATCTTCAGTTCATGTGAGCCATTCTCTAAACTCCTAGTATGCCCCGTAATAACCTCTATGATACTCCCCTATATAGTTCATGTGTGAAGGCTTTGGGATGGTGTTTCGTGAAGGCTCAGGGCTTTCAGTCACAGCTTCCAGCCTATGCATTGATTCTGCCGGAAGGTTTTTCGCAGTTTTGGTCATCCTCCTTGCGATGGGGACATTTTCATCGTTCATTAGCTCTATCACAACCACAGTGAGCACTTTGCGCTCTGCACGTGAAGAGCAGTTCAAGAAGCATTCGTTCTTGGTTCGGTTCTTCAACGAGAGAAATTTGTCGATCGAGCTCTACGGCAAGGTCAACGACATTTTGAGGAAGCAGGGAGCGTATGACATCAGGTTGAAAGAAGACGAAGTTCAGCTACTATCCGGTGTGCCTGAACGCCTCAAGGTTCACCTTCACGAGGAGACAAGCCGGAATTATGGTTTGTTTGCTTCAACAGTAGCGTGCCTTTTGTGGTTAGTTGTGGTCCTTGGCAGGAAATGTTCCTGCTTCCGCTCATGTCGCTGCGCATCTGGCGCTACTGGAAGAACGAAGACGACGAGCCCTTCTTCTGGCAGGTCTGCCACCTCGCGATGTGTGAGCATATTGCAACGCCGGGCCAGGATGCGTTCATGCCTGGCACAGAATGTGGTCAGGTTTACATCATTGAGGCTGGTTCAATGGGCTACATTGCCCGGCAACTTACCTCGTTTGAGTCCGAGCACATCCACAGTGGCGAGGTGTTTTGCCTGCCGTGTATTTGGGCAGAATGGCTACATCGCGGGCGCCTGACGGCAAATACCGGTAAGACCTGCTATTACAATGGTTTGGATTGTGTGAAGTTCGCAAACCTTGTCAAGCAACATGGCTCTCCGCTCTGGCAGCATCTGGCCTGCATGTGAAAAACAGGCTACTCAGCAGGAAGGCGTGTTCTGACTGCTAAGAGGAGAGGTGTTTTTCCCCTGAAACATCCGGGTAGAAAAAAGCTACGGCTCCATGTTCCCGATCCATGGGCGCTGCAGGCGCCATAGGCAAACGGGTATTCATGATTGAGGCCTTTCCATTCCATGCCGTCTCAAAGGGCATGTTCAAGAAACGCTGCATCCAACTGTGTGACCAGTCGTTCAGGTATTTGCAGATATATGGCATTCTGCTGATTGGGGAGGTCGAGCACATGGATGCTGAGGCCTGAAAAGAGCTCGCTGAGTACTTGCCTTCCGGGCAGAAGCGAGAATGATGCAGGATATCTGGGTCACCGACAAGGCCCTTGCGGACAGAAAGATGGACGATATAGCCGGGCGTGCTCAGCGCAACTCTGATGCAGACAGATTGTCTGGGCTCGCACGAAACTAAAAACATTGCTAGAAGATTGCCTCGCGCATGCACCTGCTCATTGCTTTCAGCTTTCGTCCATTCTAGATGAAAACTGTCAAGACTTACCTCTGGGTGCTCAGCTGCTTTGTTGAAGGCTTCGCTGACATCGTCAATGCTGCATATCTGCATTTCATTGCCTGTAAAGCCGATATTTGCTAAGAACATTCAGTGGCCCATACGCACTCGAACTTTTCATTCTGATTTTTTCTTGGAGGCGCGGAAGGGCCACAGGGGCGCTTCATTCCTGGCCACTCTTGGCGCCATGGCCAACACAGGATCGCAGCACTCTCCATCCTTCTTGAACCCGAGGCCCGGCAGCAGACCTTGGCATTCGAAGTGTCTTTGCGTCCGGGGAGACGCCCACATTTTTAGATAGTTTAGCTTTGTGCTTGGACGGGATGCACGCAGCCTGCAACCGAGGCGAGAGTCTGAGAAAGACTCCGAGCAAGACTTCGAGAAAGGCTCTGCGAAGATTGAGGGAGATATCGTCTTCCCCATGGAGCTTTAGCCTGACAACGCAGAATGTTGTGCTTTTTGCTGAAGCCGAATACCATGCAAAAGCGGGAGCTTCGTGCAAGCAGCTATGGAGCTTTGCATGCCAGATATTTTGCCACATGGGAGCGGCCCAAGAGCAGTGATCTGTTTTGAGCTGATAACCCTCCTGGGGAACGTCATGGCAGCCAGCCATGTTCTTCATATGTAGAGCCCCACAGCGTATCATGGTGGCATCTTGACTTTCCCGCAACTTTTTTCCTTCGATGAATAGTCTTCGCCAACACCTCACAAACGTGAGTGTGTAATGCACCTCTGTGGCATGATCGCAAAACAGGAAAAGCCAAGAGAGGTTGGGGAGGCTGGGGATCTCAGCCTCAGCTTGTTGCTTTTTTTACTGCTGCACATTCAGCCCGCGTTGTGAGAACCTTTTTTGAGTATTCGAAGTTCACACCTTTGCGACTAAGACTCTCGCAAGCTTGTTTTGGTGCAGAAGTGAAGTCCATGAAGGTCACCCTTCCTGATCTCAGCAGGAGTAGTGGTGCTAGCGCTAGCCATTCGCTGCTTCCAGATGTACAAGCATGTGTCAACATGAGTGACGCCTTGTACATGCCCATGGTCGAGCCCAGCCCCAAAAGAGATCCACCTTTTGAGACCTCGCCCATTTGTTCTTAAGCTGGGAGCCAATCAACCCTGCCCAAACCCCTTGACCCTCAACCCTTCTTAGCACTAAGTCCCTGAATCTCCAAACCCCAAAGCTTTACCGAAACCTGAGACCCAGGCCCTGGTGGCCCCAAGCTGGTGGAAACTCCGCCTTGCTCTTGCCTTCGAGGAGGCCAGGGATGTAGGGTTGTGCAGGGTTTAGTGGTTTTGGGGGTTCAGGGTTTAGAAGGTTTTCATTTTAGTGTTTCGGGTTATGGTTATGGGTGTCATGGGCTTCTGGCTAAACCCCCCCGGGCCTCAAGTAAGTTCTCTATCTTCTTTTGTAGACCTTCGGTACTTTGAGTGTGCAAGACTTAGAGGATACAAAATGGAAGGTATACGAGTCCCAGTTGAAAGCCTTAGAGAGACCGTATTTACATGAACTTTCATGCACTGCATCACCTGTCAAAAAGTATTTGAATAATAGTTTGAGAGGAAGACCTTCCTGGATTGAGAGCCAACAGGATCTCTGAGTAGATGCTTAGCACAAAGCGTGGTTCTATCAAGCAATAGGACCGTGCAATCTTGTGCTTTCCTGCTGAAATTGGTATGCAATGCATTGTGGCACTCTGGGGTTACATGAGCTTATAATGGGCTATAAAGGAATACTGGAAAAGAAAATGGAAACTACTACTGAGCTATAGTCTCAACTCCTGGTATCCCCCCTTAATAACCCTTTAGTCCCCTATGTAACCCCCCTTTGAGGGTTTGCAGATGCTGGCTCCTTGGCTGTCACAGCTTTCGCTTCCAACCGCTTGGAGACAGCTCAGGCAGCGGAGATCTCGTTCACAGCCCAGGCAAGCTGCAAGCTTCTTTATTGCTATTGTTTCTAATTAATTACTAGTACCATTAGAACTGTTATTTCTACTACTATTACTACTGCTACTACTACTACTACTATTACTACTACTACTACTACTACTACTTTTACTCCTACTGTTATTATTACTACTACTACTACTACTACTACTACAATCATCACTATTGCTACTATTCTTACTGCTATTAGTATTATTGGACGAAATAAGGGCTTATAAGGGAATGGAGAGAAAAAGGGACACTGTAGGGATTAGAGGGATTCTGTAGGGTCTCTATATATATATATATTCATGCACATATTTATATGGTACGCCCCCCAAGGAACCCAAGCCTGATTCAAAAGTAATGGCCAGCGCAGTGAAAACGTCTAATTCCATATTTTTTAGAGCCAAAAAAAGGAAAACAAACAAACAACCAAGATACACAAACCAACAAATCTTAATACATAAAACACACAAAAACACAAAAAAAAACCAAACAACAACAAAAAAACCAACCTTTAACTACATAAGTTGGTTAGCCTTTAAAAACATAAAGAATCATCAAAAAACAAAATTAAAAACAAAACAAAACAAACCAAAACCAAAAAAACACACACAAAACCAAAAAGATCAAAAAATGTGACTACATACCTTGGGGCAGCCCGAAATATGGAGTTATTTGTTTCTTTTTTTTTTGGGGGGTTGATTTTTGTGTTTTTATGTGTGTTTTTTTTTTTTAATTTCTGAAACTCCGGGACCGGACTACCGGACCCGGGACTGTAGTTTTTCTGTGTCATTTTCGATTTTTCTTGTCTTTTCTATTTGAGGCTTGCAGTATTAGACCTAGACCTCGTCGAGTTTTCACATTGTTCTCATATGTGCTTTCGTTATAAAACAGAAGCCATGTGCTAGAGTCTAGAGCATTGTGTCGGAATTTTCAATTTTGTCCCGCGTATAGTATCAATAAGGCTGCTCTTATGTACTTACTTATTCTCAGAAGAGAAAGGACATTTTTTTCTGAAAAACATAGCTTTGATTCTATACATGGACTTATCCAAAATGCATTGTGAAGAATTAAGGTGTTTTGAAATGTGAAAAAAGATATGTCTGACTTAGACTCATAAGACGTTCTCCACAGGAGGAAAGAACACAAGCTCCGGCTCATTCTATTGAATTTCTGTGCGATCAAACATCAATACCTGCAAGGAACTGGAGCTTCCACCTCCCTCAAGTCAATTGTATCTCTCTTGTATCTTCATTGTGTAAAAGAGAGAACTCTTCTTTTCATAGGAATAAAGGTTTGGTTCTGCCAGTGGTTCTACCTGATTCGCTACAATATGAGTGAGGGTACTTAATATTAGGGCATTTAATATTTGGTGTGCTCCTTCTCCCAAAATAAATACCTGCAAGGGACTGGAGCTTCAAGCTAATTGTATCTCCCTTGTATCTTTTTTGTGGAAAAGGGGAAAAGGGATAATTTTTATTCCATTTGTAGGAATGAAGGTTTGGTAATGCCAGTGGCATTTAATATGAGGGTATCTAATATTTGGTATACTCCTTCTCCCCAGTCTCCAAAGGTTCTTTTTTGTGTAAGAATCGAACTTACCGCAATACATTCAGTATTTTTTCATATATATATATAGATGGATAATATCTGAAATAGGTGTCCGATACATATAGTACCTGCGTCTCAATTTTGAGGAAGACGTCTCAAATCTTTGGCCTTGCTCTTCCTCATTAAAGCCCTTGTTAAAGTTGTTGCGAATTTGCAGGGAATTTCCGTGACTATAGGCTCCTTATAGTCTCCTACAAATATCCTTTATTGAAATTATTTGCTTTTCAGATGTTGCAACACTGGTTTAATACCCCTAAACGTGGGTTCCTCGGGGGGGGGGTAGCATTTATATGGATTACACAATCCGTGCACAAATGCACGATGATCCTGTGCTGCTTCTCACTGCAAATCCGCTGGCAGGAAGAGCGCCTCGCTTTGGTTCCTGCTCTGAATTCGGACTTCCTCTCAAAGGCTTGGCTGCTAAGTGGAGAAGCAACTTCTTGCTGTTTCTGGGTGGTGGTGGTGGTGGTGGTGGTGGTGGTGGTGGTGGTGGTGGTGGTGGTGGTGGTGCTGGTCATCGTCGTCGTCGTCGTCGTACTCGTCGTCGTAGTCGTCGTCGTCGTCGTCGTCGTAGTAGTAGTAGTTGTTGTTGTTGTTGTTGTTGCAGCAGCAGCAGCAGCAGCAGCAGCAGCAGCAGCAGCAGCAGCAGCAGTCATCATTCTCCAAGATGCTGGGATCAAAGAGGTGGAAAGAAAGCAGAGCAGAACCTCTGCTTCGACGTTCTTAGAATTCGTCGAAATACACGATCAGCTCTGATTTCAAAGCCGCTCAATTCAGCTGCTGCCAGGACTACTGGCGTCGCTCCGCTCAGAGCGTGCAAAAATGCATCCTCGCAAGTGGTGGCATGCCTCAATCCGGACAAGTAGTGTGTGCGGCACATCAAGATCAAGAGTGTCCAGTTGTGGTCTTGTGAGGCTGTAACCAGCGTCAAGCAGATGCGGCGGCACAAGCCGTTATTTGCAAGGCTCTTCCAAGCATAGTCTGTGCCCAGGCAGCCAAGCCGGTGTTCAGGTACCAGATGAGACGTAACATCAAGAACGCAGAATGAGCTGCCAGTTGAGGTGAGTTCTTGGCCTCTGTGCCCGATGCTGAAGAATGGCTACAGCGAGGCCAAGCCAAGCCAAGCACTTCACTGCGAGCGCGCGGAGGGAACGCATTGCACAGGTGGGGCTGCCTTGGCCGTCCAAAAAGCGGTGGCCAAGGAGTCAGGGGCTTCTGATCAATTTGGCCTGGCCCCGTGACTTGGCAAGACAGGTTGAGATGTCTGAAGAAGGTCTTTTTCCAAACGGTTTCACCATTCTTCCTTCTAGCCGCCCCTTCTGGGGTCATTCACCTAGGTTGAGGCCAATCTTCGTCTGAGCGCGCTGCAGCATTTTGTCCAGTTCATGTCGAGGCTTCCAAAGCAAGTGACGCGGAGCCTCCTCTGTTGGCTGGAGCGCCTGCCATCGAAGCAGGTGCTATGTGGAGTGCACACAAGGAAGAGAGGCCCTGTTACCTTTGTGCTCGGAAGGTACCAGCTGATGTGGATTTGGATGCAAAAGGCTTGATGTGGAAACTCAATTTCATTGAGGACAGGCCGCTGCAAAACATAGATTTGGCAACACACGCGGCCCTACTGTCATCTGGTGTCATCTGCTGTCCACAGTTTTCGGACTCGGCTTCGAAGTGCCAGGATGTCGAGGAGGTCGGTCCATGCAGTGAGGCAGACTTGATCATGGCACAAGCCTGAGACCTGTGATCTGAGCTACAAAGTGAAGAGCTGCATGGCAACCACCAGCCTCACCAAGAGGTTCTGGAACCAAAGAAGGGTTCCCTGTGACTGAGCAGCATTGAGATCTTGACAGCACCCAGCCAATCCTTGTAAATTTCGGTCCCAGGCCGCTCCTGCAGGCAGCGGCG